GTTCTATTACATTTAACTCGTCTTTGACTGTGTTTAATTCTAATGCTGTATAGAAGAATTCAAATCCGACACTTATAATATTTTTCTTAATATCATCATTAGTTCCTTGTCCTAAATAAATACTTTCGATAAGTTGGTATTTAGATTCTGGATACTTGTCTTGTAATACTTCAAATTCTAAATTATCGAAATCGTACATTATTTTATCTAGAATTTCATCTTTTAATCTATCATAAAGGACATTTATTTCTTCAAGAGATTCTATCTATATTAGTGTTGTTAAGAAATCTTTTTGAGTATCATCAACTAAATTGTCTTGTCTTTTATAATTACTAAACCTTATGCTAGCATCTCCACTATTTGAAACATATATCATATTATTTGCGGGAATCTTTTTAGGTGTATTAGTAAGTTTAGGTAATTTTCATTTTGTTCCTTCATGGGTAATACTGCTTACTTTTCTGGCTTCAATCATCTGGACATATTTGTTACTAAAAGGTTTATCTATTTCACTAAATTGGGCTTTAAACTTTAAGTTATACTAATTAACTGCCTTACCTATAAATAAAGTATTAACTAATAAATTTTCAAATTGTCCGGTTATATTATATCTTTTCGTAGATATAGCTATCTTAATATGTTTACTGAATTCTTTGGTAGTCATCGTGTAATTAGGAATACATCCTACTATTGCGGCATTGTCGGCTAAGTCTATCTCAGCGCTGGCTATTTGAGCTTGTTAATGGTTACTCCATCGATCATCATAAATATAAGCAAGTGCTCTAGTTCTGGTTTCTGCTCTATTTAATCCTACTAATCCTATCATTATGATGCCTAATGCATAAGTTCTAAATTATTATCAGTTAGTTCTTGGCATGCTTCGAGTATTATAAGGTCTAAAATAACTTGATTGTTAACTGCACTTATTTTTCTTTGGCTAAAATGATTATATATCTTGCTCTGAAAATCTAATAAATTATTAGAATAAAGATTAATTTTATTTTTTACCTTCTTCATTCCTTGTTCTATATATTTTTTAGCATCATGTTCATTATCATATAAATCTTCTACTCTTATTATTTCTTTGGCTTTTCTAAGGATAATGGCCATTGTGGTATTTGCTTATGAGGTTGAAGTTGTAATAAATTTACACGCTTGGCTGTTGTAGGAGAGGACTGGTTATTAACTGACAATTTTATTTCTTTTATTTTATCTGATAATTCTTTTAAAGATTCTCTGGGAATACTTTCTTGTATTACTTCTAATTTCTCTTCAAGTTTATTAACTTTATCAGATAACTGGAGTAATAACTGAATTAAAAAGTTATTTTTGTCTAATGTGTATATTAGTTGATTGTAAGTCTATTTTAAAGTTAGTAAATCCTTTAGGTTCTTTATCAATTTTGTAAAGTTCAGCTAACGCAGTTAAATATTCAGGACTACTGGTGCTCATAAAACTATTGTAATAATTTTTTGAGATCGGTTTTAAGGGATTTTAAAGAGTCTAGGATTATTTTTTGGTTTTCAGCAATATTCTTAAGATCACTATTGATATCTTTAATTGCGACTAATATTATCATATTATCTAAATTATTTGGACTAGAATTCTGTATTACTTGTTCTTTAATATAATCTAAATTTTCTCCTAATCGTTTTATAGAAGTATCTAAATTATTAAAGTTAAATCTATTCATAAACTAAAATATTTTGTATTAATATAATTTGTATTAATATAATTCTAGATCTAAGTTCTTTAATTCTTCTTTGTAGACTATGTGTTGTGTCTCCTAATTCTAAAGCTATGTAGCAGTTCCTAAGTGCTGTTTGACAAAATTCTAATATTTGAACAAGTTGTTCTTTGGGTAAATTGTGCATAAATTAAACTTATAAGGGTGAAAATATAAATTCAACTTTATAAAAGATTAAAATAAAACTTGATTCATGTATTTATAAATATGTAAACTACGTTTGGCTATGAATAATATACCTACACTAAGATCACTTTATTGTAAAAGTCCCTATATATAATATGATATATAAATACAGTATATATAATATGGGTGTAAGAGTCAAAATGAAATCAATGCACGTGGGCCCTCAAAATGTATAAGAAACTAGTTTGATAAAAAAACCAGTGATGGCATGTCAGTTACTTTGTAGGTATTGCCCTTCAAATTTATTAAAAAATTTAATTGACTCTCTATGGTTTTTCTTTAAAAATACATTTATATATTGACTCAAAGTAGAGAATTAAAAAAATAAATTTAGTTTGTATCAATTTAAAAATTAAAAAATTTTAACTTCGAACTATTGTAATTATATTTCTAAAAGCTCAATTTTAATTTTTTTTTTTACAATTGATGTATATAATTTTTTAATTTTAATTACATAATACAAACCTGTCATTCCCTAACCTCAAATTTCTGACTCCTTCCCTGAGTGTCCTGGCATCAGACCTCCTCCTTCCCTGAATGTCCTGAATCAGACCTCCTCGTCAACCGCCGGACATCATTCAGATGGCTTCACTGACTAGTGAGGCCATAGCACATACAAGGTGTTTAACAAAAACAAAAGGTAAATTACATCGACCTCCCCAAGGGTTGTTTTAATTATGCTAAACTTTCTTATAGTTTTCAAAATTACACTGAGCTCTTCTAAAAAAACAAACCTCATAACACTAACCTCAATTGGACTAACAGTCAGTGTCATTTTACCAAACCATCCTTAAAAGGAAATAAATCTAAGCTAAAGTTAATATAATAGACAATATGACATTCAATAGAAAATAGCAAAGACAAAAAATGGTGGACCCACTTATATATAATGGAAGAAGAATGATGATTGATGATGATAATTATCAAAAAAAAAAAAAAAAAATATGAAGAAAGAAAAAGAAAAGAAAGTGTCATTTGAGAATGCAAACGAGGATAATCTAATAATTCTATACCCACCCTTAATTTCAAGAGTTGGAACCTAGTGATCTTATTGGCTTTTCTTCTATATCATGGTGAATTATTTTTGCCATTTTCTACCACCTTTGGCATCAGTCAAGTGCATGTGACATTTTTGGTATATTTTATTTATTTATTTATTATTTGTTTTAAACTAGACGAAAGTGTTCATTTATTTTGGAACGAAAGTAATATTTATTTATTATTAATTATTATTTTTTATACATTGTCTCTCGCACTTATTCGAAGCATCTTCATTTACTTCATTTTCTACCCACCTTTGGCATCAGTCAATTGCATGTGACATTTTTGGTATATTTTATTTACTTTTATTGTCTCAAACTAGATTATTTTGGAGCGGAAGTAATATTTATTTATTATTGATTATTATTTTTTAAACATTGTCTCTCACACTTATTAGAAGCATCTTCCAAAGTCCAAAGGCATGACGGATGTCTCCGCGTAGAGTGTGGAGACAGAATAGTTTCTGCTTTTAAACCACTGAATTCTTGATTTATTTATTTATTTATTTTTATTTTTCAGGACCCATTCCAATGTGATCTTTCTGTGCCCACTGGTCAGTGTTCTTCAATGCCATCCTCTTAATCCATCAAGAAACCATTTTTCAAATCAACAAGCCAATCTTTTTGAAACTAGACTGATTTTAGTTGAAGTTTCAGCAACTGAAAATTTCAGTTCTAATTGATAATGTGGAAGTCTTTTTTTCCTATCAAGAATGACATTTAACAGCACATGTAAATCACGGAATTTACAGAGAAAATTTAAGAAAAGAAGAAAATTGAAAGAGAAGATAAATTATTAATTTCGGGACTTTCAAAGGAGAATAATGACATTTTGAGATAAGAGTTGAAATTTAGATAATGAGTCAAATAAAATAGATTTTCAAATCCTTTCATTTCATATTTTTTCTTATTTGTTTTTTCAAATTTCATTTCTAAATGAATTTGAATTTAAATGAAATATGTGGTGTTATGGTTTAGCAGGATATAATTGGCTAACACACAAGCCGGATCTCTTGCATTGATTTAGTTCTGTGCACAATTAGCAAGGTCTCTCTTGTATTGATTTAGCTTTGACTTTTTTTAATTTTTTAATTTTTTAATTTTTTATTCTTTATACTTACGTAACACTAAATATCTGTAAGTCATTTTACTAGCATAAATCTTTATTTATAAAATACGTACGCAGTTAATCACTCAATGTGAGAAAATATTCTCTCCCTATTCGCAGTTTTGACATGAATGGTAGTATGAGTGCATGTGAGCTCGGACGGAGCCACTTATGCAGAGTGTCATTCCTTCTTCAAATCTTTTTATTCACATTCTATATTTAGGATTTTATTAATTTTTTTTTTTTTTTTTTATGGTCTTGTTGAGGTTAAGGTCGAGTCCATCGAGTGGGACGTGTAAAATAATTTATCGAAAATTGATGGATAAGTTATTTTTATTAAATTTTAATATTTTTTTTCTTGATAAATATTTTACAACAACCAAACACCAAAAAAAATAAAAAAATATTTTACTTCTAAACAAATGAATCCTTAATGTTAAATGTTCTTTGTTGATTCTTCATTTCTTAAGTTATCATTGTTCTAAGGGTTGCCCCTTTAAAATAAATTTCACAGTGACTTTTTTTTATTTTTTTTTTTAATTTTTTTAATTTTTATTTTTTGACATTTGGTTGATGTCAAGTTTATCGAATAGGACATGTAACACAACTTACTGAAAATTGATGAATAAATTATTTTTATTAAATTTAAAAAAAAAAAAAAAATTCCTTAATATTTTACTAGAACCAAACACCAAAAAAAAATAAAAAATATATATTTTACCCTTTATTTTCATGACCTGTTGTATGGATCCAGGTTCAATACATTTACATCTATATATATATATCCATTATTTCCATGACTTGTACTCAAAACTCAAAATCAAAGAGAATACTTGATAAAATGGCCAATGATAGACAGCCGGCCATATAAAACACACTTCTTTAATATTAAAGAACACACACAGTGACACACATTAATTCAATTATATTTATCAGCAATCTCCTGCAAAGTAAGGTAAAGCTCGTCGGGTTTTGAACTCATGACCATATGGTCGGATCCATTTATGGACTTCACTTCTTTAGGTGGACTATTTTCAATCATATATTTCTGATAATCCACTGGCAGGATTTGATCATCTTCAGCTATTATAAAAACTCGAGTGACCGACCCGAAATTATTCTGTGTCAGCAGAGGCTCGCTCAAGTCATCCATGTAAAGCCCGGTTGGCCTCAGTAACGTTTTAGTTAATTCAACGTCCTGCATGCAAAGCTACATGATCAATACTCATCAAGCAGAACAAGGGCTGTTTTATTTACCCCAAATAAAATTAAAAAGAAAAAAAAAAAAAAATCTGTTTTATGGATTTATTCACATGAAATTGCTTGAGATCGGATCCAACCTCACCTCTGTTGGGGAATCATTATAAAGCTTAGTTTCAGTGCATTCTGGACCAAAGAGTACCTGATTATTCGAATCATATACAACTATGCTATCCAAGAAAGTGTCTGACGAAGTCGCGTTGAAATACTGTTCTCCAAAACAAAAGCCAGGAAAAAAGAAACGTGTTAAGAGAGCAAAAGAACATACACTAATACACACAGATTCAATAATAAACGAAAGAGCTAGAGAGAAATTTTGACATTATTTAAAAATTAATCTACTATAAATTTCGTAAAAAAAAGTACTATTAATTAAATATGACCGCACATTTTTTTTAACTGAAAATATGACCACACATTAGTGACTAAATTTTGGCATAGCATACTCAACTCTTTTTTGGTCTATACATATATATTTTCATTGACAAGAAAGACACTGCAAACTCTTATCTTTCATATTGAGAAGTAGATGATGTACCAATACGTTACAATCTTTGGTGGTGACCGACCTATTCATGAGCCACAAAAATATCACACGTGGTAGAATCATGCACACGTGCTGAGGAGGCCCGATATGACATGGGCTAGGTGTGACTTGCAAACGCGGCATTGAGTCCGTACAGGTGGGTCAGGCCCATAAAAAGACACTACCATATGGGCCGAACGCGCATAGGCCCATCAAAGAGGACCGGGACTCATGGAGGAACGGGCCTAGATCCAGCAGTCCATCAATATTTGTAAACCTCTATAAATAGGAGGAGGAAGGAAAAGAAAAGGGTATCTTTTTGGGGGTTGAGAGAAAGGAATACTAGAGAGAGAGAGAGTGGAGAAAGAATTTCTTGTATCTTCAATTGGCGCCGTCTGTGGGAAGCGCATGGAAGTTTGGTTGATCAATGAGGAATATCGGGTAGATTCAGACCAATTCGGTTGATCGAGACTCGATCTTTGGGAGTTGGATCCAGATCTAAACGATTGTGACCTACTCTGGAGGAATTTCAGTTCTTGAAGTTTTGGCAAAAATGGCTTCAGATCTACGCAACAACGAGTTGTTCGATTGTGGCAGGATCTGACGGATTTAGAGTTCAGACAATTCAGATCTCGTTAACGGTGAGCATAATTCGGAGAATTCGAAACCAGATCTGAAAAATTCCCACTCGCGAAGCTCGGATCTACTCGCGAACTTGAGATTAATGCCTTTACTCCGTTCAGGAATAATGATAGGTGAAAGCTCCAATCCGATGGAGGCTATCCAGCAAACAAAGCTTGAGGAGTTGATGAACTTGATTGAAGCTCTCAAAAAAGAGAATGCAGAATTGAAAGCTGGAATGCAACATCAGCAAATACCTGCGGTTTCGCATCCACTTCCGGTCGGTGAAGGAGGTGTTCAATCTAATATCGCGCGTCAAGGCGAGCAGGACGAGAACAATCAGTCAGCTCACCACCGTGATGAAAGGATGATGGACAATTTGCCGCCAAATGTTCGTCGAGTTGAGGATCACGAAGGATCGACTCACGTTGATCCGCGACATGAGCAGATTAGACGGAATGAAGCCATAACCTTCGATCCGCATAGGGAAAGGTTCGACCGAGAGGAAGTGATAGAGGTTGATCGCCGTCGAGTAGCGTCGCCTTGGCAAAGAGAGTTCATAGAGGAACGGTCGTTCGATCCGTCTTACCGGCCCTCCATGGCTACTATCACTCATCGCGGATCGGAGGGCAGAACCGTAACTCACAGAGCTACCGCTGGACTCCAGAGAGAGAATGAAGCCCTCCGATCCGCAGCTCGGACGGTTGATTCACCATTCACCGACGAGATCTTGAATGCCCCGCATCCAAGGAAGTTTGCTATGCCAGTCTTTATTCTGTTTGACGGAACAACCGATCCGATCGATCATGTGTACCATATCCAGTTGAAAATGGCCCTGAATACGGAAAACGACTCTTTAATGTACAAATGTTTCCCTACAAGCCTAGCCGGACCGGCGCTCAGCTGGTTCAAAAACTTGCCTAGGGGCTCCATTGGTAGCTTCAAAAACCTGTGCGATCGGTTCATAAGCCAGTACTATGGGAACAAGCGTCCGCCGAAGGACATCTCGAGCCTATTCACGATGAGGCAGCACAAAGATGAACGTCTCCAGGCTTTTCTCACCAGGTTTAATCTCACTAAGAGTATGGTGATCGAATGCCACCCTTCTACAGCAGTTCAAGCCTTCAAGTTAGCCATGACACGTGGAACTCCGTTTCACACCAGTCTGGTAGTGAACACGCCGACGACTATGGATGAACTCAATGAAAGAGCCGATGGCTTTGTGCGCCTAGAAGAAGAGGAGGCAGCTAATGCACAGACAGCGTCGCTCGTGTCGACCGAGGAAAAGTCCAAGGCAAAGATCAGGCAGAAGCAGGCTCAGCCGCAACGTCAGACCTCCTGGAAGGCAGAAAAAAGGTCTAGGGAGGAAGAGCTGATTACTCCGCTGAAGGTCACTCTGGCGAGGCTATATCAGGAGAATAAAGATAAGTTTCATCCACCACTGCCAATTAGGCAACCCCTCGAGCAGAGGGATCAGACTAAACATTGTGCTTTCCATTCTGATTTCGGTCATCAGACTAACGAATGCAGGAACTTGAGAAGGCAAGTGGAGATGTTGATAGCTAGAGGGGAGTTCGCGAGTTATGTTCAAGGCTCGGCGATAGAGCAGAATCGACCGGTGGAACAAATAAAAAGGAGTCATAAACAAAGCACCCACAATTCACAACCAGTTCGTATTATCAATGCTATCCATGGTTGACCCGAGCCTAGTGAAGAGTCAGATGAGCTACTCCGAGCGCGCCTACGGCAGGCGCAGATGAAGAAAAGGGTCAGCAGTGTGAATACTCTACACTAGCAGATCCCGTCGATGTAGATAAAGTTCGACTGGACAGACCTGCAGCGTGTTCAACTGCCCCATGAAGACCCGTTGGTAGTCAGTTTGACAGTGGCGGACTGCTTGGTGCGCAGAGTTCTGATCGATCCTGGGAGCAGTGCGAATGTCATGCCGAGGGACACATTTGATCGGCTCGAGATTGAACCAGAGAGGCTCAAGCCCACTGGAAATCCCCTGTTAGGGTTCGATGGCAAGAGGGTGGAGCCCGTCGGGATGGTGGAAGTAGAAGTTCAAGCTGCAGAACGAGCTCTTATGGAAACTTTTGTGGTTGTAGAAATTCACCCCTCGTATAATCTCCTGATGGGAAGAGGATGGATTCACAGAGTCCAAGGTGTACCCTCAACTCTGCATCAGGTCATGAGGTGCCTCGGACCCGATGGAGATAAAGTGATAGACATCCGGGGGGATCAGGTTGCAGCCAAAGAGTGTTATTCCGTCACACTAAAGTATGCTGGAAAAGGGAAGGCGTCCGTCCGTTCAGCAAGCCCCAGATAGCAATTACAGGAACCTCCGCCCGAGCGGAACAGGGTGGAGGAGTCAGTTGACTTGACCGAAGAGCCCCTTCTGGATGTGCAGATTGATCAGTCCAGGCCAGAACGAACTACCAGAGTGGGAACAAGACTGACCAGAGAAGAACAGCAAGAGCTAGTGGACTTCTTGTCCCACAATGCCGACGTATTTGCATGGAGTCACCTAGACATGCCTGGAATTAATCCCTCCGTATCCTGTCATTCCCTGAATGTCAATCCCAAGTTCAAATCAGTGAAACAGAAGCAACGAAGATTTGCTCCAGAACGCAATCAAATCATAGCGGAAGAAGTTGATAGGCTGCTTGATGCGGGATTTATCAGAGAGGTACACTACCCTGATTGGTTGTCCAACGTCGTTGTCGTACAGAAGAAGAATGGGAAATGGCGAGTATGCATTGATTTCACCAATTTGAACAAAGCCTGTCCGAAGGACAGCTTCCAGCTGCCTAAGATTGATCAAATGGTGGACGCCACAACCGGGTATGAGCGTTTGACCTTTCTGGACGCTTATTCAGGTTATAATCAGATCCCTATGGACCCCGCGGATGAAGAAAAAACTTCTTTTGTAACCGAGCGAGGAACATACTGCTACAAAGTTATGCCTTTCGGACTAAAGAATGCGGGAGCAACCTATCAAAGACTTGCTAGCAAGATTTTCAAGAATCAAATAGGAAAGATTGTGGAAGCCTATATTGATGATATGGTGGTAAAGAGTAGGAAGAAGGATGATCATCTGAGACATCTGCAAGATGTATTTGATGTATTAAAGCGATACGGGATGAGGCTCAACCCAACCAAGTGCTTGTTCGGTGTGAGTTCCGGTCAGTTTTTGGGACACGTGGTCAATCGCAGAGGCATCGAAGTTAGCCCCGCTCAAGCAGAGGCTTTGATTAAGAATGCCGAGCCAAAGACGATCAGAGAAGTGCAAGCCCTCACAGGACGAATAGCCGCATTAAGTCGATTCATTTCAAAACTGTCAGATCGCTGCAAGCCGTTCTTTGACACGATTCGGAGCCATGGAAGACAGGTCTGGGGGGATGAGCAACGACAAGCATTGACCCATTTGAAGGAATATATGCAGAATCCACCAGTCCTGTCAGCCCCGGATCCAGAAGAAAAGTTATTTCTATACCTTGGAGTATCTGGTGTCGCGACAAGTGCCGTTCTGATTCGTTGCAAGGAAGGGGTGCAATACCCGGTATTTTATGTAAGCAAAACAATAACGGAGGCAGAACAAAGATACTCAAAGGCCGAACGGGTGATACTTGCACTTGTAAATGCAAAAAGAAAGTTGAGGCATTATTTCGAATCCCACCCCATAGCTGTTCTAACAACTTTTCCAATCAGAACGCTTATGCACAAGCCAGAGCTCTCGGGTAGAATGACAAAGTGGGTCATAGAGTTAAGTTCATTTGACATAACGTACGAGCCGAGAACAGCTGTCAAAGGGCAAGCGGTAGCCGATTTCCTGCTGGAATGTGATTCCGAGGATACGGAAGAAGACCTTAGATGCGGCTCTTGGAAACTTTTTGTGGATGGCTCCTCTAACCAGATGGGGGTGGGAATTGGGGTCAAACTGCAAACCCCAGAGGGTACTTCTTTGAGTCAAGCACTCAGACTTGAGTTCTGAGCCACCAATAATGAAGCGGAATACGAGGCGTTGCTGAATGGGTTAAAATTGGCCAAAGAGCTACAGG